ATGTATACAAAATACATAAGGAATATCAGCTTAAAAAACAGCTGATAAATGGCCTTGCATGATATGTTATGGGACTTTTTTAAATAAATACGTTTCAGTGAGATATTAAACATCACTAAGGACTGACTGACTAATTCATTATGTGTTGTATTGTATCCTCTGCAGCTCCATGGGACGCTGAGAGTGGTGATGGAGCCTCTGCTGGGAGACATGCCTCTGATCGGAGCGCTGTCCGTCTTCTTCCTCAAGAAACCGGTGAGTTTTTATCTTAAAGGGGACCTATCATGCAAAATGCACTTTTTGATGTCTTTTATACATAAACATGTGTCCCCGGTGTGTCTGGGAACTCACGCAGCGTCAGAAAATAAACCCCTCTCTCTTTTCCTCCGTACCCAAATCTCTAAAAACGGGGTACAACGGAGCTGATCCAGATTTGCGTCCGATATGACGTAATATCTGAAATGTGGACCCACGGCCCAATCAGAAACGTTGCTATCAGAAACAATGCCCGACTGTCTTGGACGTAATATGGTTGGTGTTTACATTAGCATCGCTAACACTCAGAGCTAACCTGTACTGGAGAGCATGTGTGTGAAGAAGCAGGAAGTAAAAAGGAACTCACCTTGTGGTATAACCGGCAAGAGAGAAAGCCTTTGAGCTCCATACTGTTTCAGAAATAATCCTTGATAATCCATGATATGGCGTTTCATCACCGCAGTATTTAGTTTAGACAGTAGCTGCCGGGTCCCGCATGAGCTCAGACCCCTCCTTTTTATTTTCGCGGGTAAAACTAGTAATATACCACCATTTATCTAATGAGTGTCATCTCAATGCTGCGTTAAACTATGTGTGGCCCGTCCCGACGTATAGACTCGAGACTCAGTGCCCGTGCGTGCAGAAGTGTTCACTTTGTAAGCACACAACACACACACACACACAGCACAAACACACTACCACCTACCACACACACACCACACACACACACACACACACACACACACACACACACACACACACACACACACACACACACCACATCACACACACACAAACACACACACAACACACACACACACAACACACACCACACGACACGACAACACACAACTTTTTCAGTACAATTTAGCCACTTACTTTGTTTATTCTATTATGCTTCAACCTTGTACATATGCTATAGCCTTCTATGCGAATTTTTGTCGCCTATTACCGAAATGTAGTCCCCACAGGTTTGAGTTAAGTAGCCGCCCGGGGCGTAATCGGTAATACCAACGTGAGGTTTCCCGGTCAACATTGATATATTATCAATATTTATATATAATATTTTATTACATAATATAATTTATAACGGGACTTAACCCCAATAATAGCCTAACCATTATTGATTGATTCAAACTTTCGTCTTCAGGGCTGCGCCGTTTGTATTAACGTTCAGAGACAGTCACGGGTACAGTGTTTGCTCTACGCAAGCACCCTGTCGCGGAGACATTCTCACCGTACATTCGGGCATATTATTTGCATAATATAAGAAACGTTCGAACGGCCCGGTGTAATTTACTTCAGCGCCCGCCTAAACCGGCCGCGAACTCAAAACTGTGGGGACCGAAATGTACTATACAATACCCTGAGAAAATTATTTATCAAAAGTCACTCTAATTATTTGTAGTGATTCCTGGACTGACTGATTAAGAATACACAACATAACCATAGGAGACAGTCGAAGGTACCTGCGACTCTCACCCACTACCTCGGAGACGACCCTCTGTAACGGAGACTAGCCTCGCGACAGGGCACGAAGAAGGAGTTCTTTGCGCCACCTCAAAAATAGAATTTCCCCTGGAATAGTAACGTTTGTTACGTGAAAAAACTACAGAAAATATGTATTTGGTCAAGGCCACAAGACCCTTGAGTGCGTCGCAGTCTTTTATTTGGGGAGACAGAAAAGAGGAGGCATGGGTTTTAGAGATTTTTGCCCCGATGTTGCCTCGACTAGGTCTATAACGCAGGCTATACTTGCATTATAGACTTTACGACTGGGTGCCCGGATTAGTCTTTGCAGACGATAGTCTTTGTTACGGGCTGACAAAAACCCTGCATTATACCAACCACAAAATGTAATCGTAGCGATGTGAGTCTCGATTGGACCAATTGACCTCTCGTACACACACTTCTTCGTCCTTCATTTCTCTGAGTGAACACCATATTGGCCGTTCTCCTCTTTCGGAAACCTCGAGGGTATGACAAAGTCTTATCAGGGAACTATTAGGTACTATACCGCAAAGTAGTGGGGCGTCATAAATCAAATCTGTTCATCGACGGCCCAGGGGCGTACTCGACGTCTGGGGAGGAAAAATAAAAAAATTTCAAATATGTATTTTAGTTCGGTAAAACTTTGTTCCTTTCACCTTTATCTCCCTATACTCCGTCCGGATATTAGACAACCATTTAAAACTCGTTTTGTGCAGTATCTGTACTAAAAAATATATAAAAATTATATAGACTCTGGATACGATAACCGATTTTTATCGTTACTATCCACCGTGGAAGATTTGTTGTGTATGTCACAGTTTTCTGTTTTTTTTGTCCACTACGTCCAAAGGTAGAAAACATTGGGGGGAGGGATGTCTTATTCTGTAAATTTTACTATCTGTTTGTGGTAGTCTTAGTCTCTTTGTCAAAATAATGGCTCCATCAGAGTTGGAATGGACCCATTTATTTGGACAAAGACTAAGACTACACAACAGATAGTAAAATTACAGAATAAGGCACATCCCCCTCCCCCCAATGTTTTTTACCTGTTGGACGTGTGGACAAAAAAAACAGAAAACTGTGACATACCCAACCAAATTTCCAGTGGATTAGTACGATCAAAACATCCGTTTATCGTATCCAGAGTCTATATAATTTTTATAATATTTTTAGTACAGATACTGCACAAAACGAGTCTTTATGGGTTTGTTCTAATATCGGGACAGGAGTATAGGGAGATAAAAGTGGAAGGACAAAAAGTTTTACCAACTAAAATACATA